GTAAAAAAAAAAAAAAAAAAAAAAAAAGAACACGTATCCAGAATAAAGAACTCTCAAATTCAGTAAGAAAACAAGGAACAACTTAAAGAAAAACAGCCAAAAACTTTGCAGATTCTTCAAGATGACATGGGCTGGCCCTGCACCCTCAGGTCACCTCTCACTGAAACCCAGGCTCCACCCGCACCAAGGAGGAGGGGAGCAGCCAGAATGCTCCTGCACTGCTGGCATGCAGAGAAAACACACCAGTGACTTTGAAAACAACTGGGAAATCTCTTAAAATATGAGGAAGCTTAGTGGTTGTCAGGGATAGATGTGGTCACAGCTGTACTCAAAGGGAATCATCATCTAGTGCTTTTATCACAAAAGGAGAAGAGCAGGAGAACCAATGAGGTAAGAATCATCCTGAGAATTTAGAAAGACAACAGCAAAATATGTGCAGAGGAAAGGCAGAAATGAATCAGAGATAACACAACTCTGGTGAGTTGCAGAAAGAAGACAAATGACACAAGTCATATTAGAATCAAAGGTAAGCTAGAACCAGAATGGCCTCAAATAGTAAAAATGTGAAATAAGGATGTTTTAAGAGACTATGTCAATGCATTTGAAGACTTAGACAAAATGGGCAAATTCTTGGGAAAATGTATAATTAAAAACAAAGCAACAAAAAAACCTTCTTAAGCCCCAGTAGTTTTCTGGGTAAATTCTGCAAACACTCCAGAAACAATCACAACTTTATATAAACTGTTACAGAGGGTGGAAAAGGAAATAATAACTGCCCAATTCATGTCATGAGACCAGCAAACCTTGATACCAAAACTTAAGAAAAACTGAAAGTCCATTTGGGGACACATATGGAAAATCACTTAACAGAATGTTAGCAAACTGAATCAAGAATGTGGATAAAACTCAGAACAAGCCAAGGTCACCCAGCCCACAAGTGGCAACATTACCAAGTCCATTAAGTCAGCATGTTACCTGATCAGAAGGGGACCTCACTCAGCACCGCAGTTAACATCACCTAAAACTCCTGGCAACCCCTGCAGTCTGAGTGCTCCTTATATGAAACGCTTGGCACCAGGAGGATTTTGGATTTTTTTGGATTTTTCAGCATTTGCATATACATAAAGAACTATTGTGGGAAGTGGACCCAAAGTCTAAACACACTTGTTTTATATACACCGTAAGCACACAGCCCAAAGGTGACTTTATGTGGCATGTCTCCAAATTCAGGTGTGGAACTTTCCCCTTCTAGGGTCAGCTGGCATTCATACAGTTTTGGATTTTTTGGATAGCACTTCAGATATTCAGATTAGGGCTGTGCCAGGCCCTGAAAGAAGCTCTCATACATATGTACTGGGAGACATACACCAGAATGTGTCCTGAAGTACTGCCCCTAATATCACCCATGGGCTGTCACCCTTCAAAGGGACACATGGGCAGCCCAGATATTTCCTAGCAGAATGAAGCTGGAAGGTATATTCAAATGATAGAATACTGTACCTAGGAGTAGATTCAGACATCAACATGGACAAATCTCAAGACACAAATTAAGTTGGGCATGGGGGCACATGGCTACAATCCCAACTCTGTAGAAAGCTGAGGCAGGAGGATCACAAGTTTGAGCCCAGCTTGAGCAACTTAGTGAAGCCCTGTCTCAAAAATATAAAACAAAACACAAGCTGGGGATGTAGCCCAATGTGAAGACTGGGATTACAAAAAAAGAAGACAATATATCACTTAGGAGTAACATCCGGGTGGTACAAATCACAAGGAAAAGCAGAGTGAGGTCCCTGAACCTTGGCCAGCAGTGATAAGGTGTTGTAGTGAGGCTGTCACCTGTCATCTGGAGGAAGACACCCATGCTGGTGTTAGCTTGGGCCTGCTCTCAGCACTGACTCTCCCACCCCACCCAACCTGCATGTGTATTTCATCTGTGAGAGCCCATGGGCTTAAACCCCAAAGATAGTATATTCAACCCTGTGGGGAAAAGTCCAAGGATCCTTCTTATTCAAAAATTGAAGTTTACATCCCCAAAATGTGACATGCAGAAAAATATCAAATACAAGAGCTCACAAACTTGGGCTCTCGCTCAAGATTCTTTGGGACTTGCCCCATGAGAAAGGGAGCGTTGGTGCAAAGGCACTCAGAGCCCGAGCACCAGATGGGCCACTGAGAAGCAGCTTCTCCCCACCACGTTTTGGGGCCACACAAACCCAGAGGCTTCTCCCGCTCTCCCTGGAGCCTGGCCACCTTGTCTCTGCTCCTTTATGCCCTGGCCTCCTCTCCTGTACCTGAGCTTCCTTCATTATGAAGGATACTGGGGCCCAGGGTGTAGATCAGCAACACAGTGCACACATGGCACACACTAGGTGCTGGGTCCCTTCCCCCGCATGTACACACACACACACACACACACACACACACACACACACACACTCTCCACAGGCTCCAGGCTAAACCCCAGTGGATGACTCGGGCACAGTGCTTAGCAGTGTCTGTCAACAGCAAGGGTTGGGTGGCTATTACTGCTGTGTTCTGCTGAACTCAAGTCATGTCTGTAATGTGAATTTTAGTCTACAAAATTTAAACAGAAAAATGCTGCCAGAACATGAGTGGAAATAATGCTGTTTTGCAGGCGCCTGCTCCGGCTGCTCAATAATCAGGGCACAGAGTGCGAGATGTGTGGCGCAGTGGCGGCAGGGACACGGGCCGACATGGTGCGTGAGACTCACCCACCATGTGCTGCTGTGGAAATGCTGGCTGGCTGTAGCGTTCTCGCCTCATGCATTTTACAAACCTTTACGCTTAGTGCGTACCTGGAACGCTTCCTATGTGCGCTTCCGTAAAGCTACTTTCATGCTTAAAAGCTGGCTGACTGCGCTGCGGGGTGGCACTCAGGGCCCTGCATGGCGGGCTGTGCTCTCCCTGAACTCCAGCCCAGCTCTTCTGTCTTCCCAATAAACCCCCGCCCAGTGCTTGGTCTGTGTCCTTAGTCCATGATTGCATTCCTCATGGGTATGGCCTATGACACATCTTATTGCTTCTTATTCCTCCTCACCACGCCTTCCCCTCCCTGCATCTCTCTCAGTCCCCTTCCCATTTGCAAAAGTTCTATCTCCCTGATTCCTATTATTTTGCTCTTTAGTTATGATGTGGGCTTCTCATCTAAGCGAAACCACGTGATATTTAGGCTTGTGTGTCTGACTTATTTCACTTGACATTATGGTCTCACGGTGCATCCGTTTTCCTAAAATTACCCATTTACTCTTTAAAAATTATTTTTATTAGTATGTTTCCATAGTACTCACATTCATCATAGGAAATCTGTACCTGAACATATCTTAATTTTTTTGTTTCCTATTCCTCTCCCCTCTTTTCAACCCTTCTTACCCTACCCATTTACAGAAGTTGTTTCCATTTTTTCGTTCCTTTCCCCTCCTCTGTACCTTGTTTCCCTTCACATTTGAACATGTTCTTCCTACTTCCTAATATCTGTCATCCGTTTTGTTGTTTGTTTACACTTAGGGCTTGTTTCCCATAAGAGAGAAGCAATGTGATACTTAAACTTGTGTGTCTTAATTATTTCACTTGAAATTATGGTCTCAAATTACCTACAAATGATTCAAATTCATCCTTTATGGCCGAGTAGTATGCCACTGTATATAAATACCACATTTTAAAAATCCATTCATCTGTTGATGGGCATACAAGCTGTTTCCAAGATTTAGCTATAATAAATTGTGCTGCTATATAAACACTGGTATGCATACTGCACTGCAGTATGATGCTTTTAACTTTCTGGAAGATGACTAGAAGGGAAATAGCTGGGTCAAAAGAAACCTCTAGTTTTAGCTTTTTGAGGGATCTCCATACTGATTTCCATAGTGGTTGTACCAGTTTACATTCCTACCAAAAGTGGAGAAGGGTTCCTTTAACCCAACAGCCCCACTAACCTTTGTTATTGGT